ACAAGATACGATTGGCATATATAGTCAAGGTTACAAACTGACTTAGAGATTATCTAGGAATATACAGCTAATTCTATTGACTAGGTTAAATACAAAATATGGCTTGGTAAATATACATATAAAGCACACGTAATAATATATCACTTAATAGAAGTAAGTTTATTTCTACTTCAACTTCACATGGTGTTTTTCCTTCTCTTATTAATCCACTCATTTGCATAAGTATAATAAATAATAATAATAATCATACATTAGGAAAAAGCTAATGAGTAGTCATGTTAGTTTTTGATTGTTAATTGCTTTGTATAAAATTTATCATTTATGTGAAGATGAGTGTATTTTGTGAAATTATAGTCCATAGTCCATTGACAATGTTAATGTTGTTATTAGTCCTTTATCCAAGGACTATTTGGTCAAATTTTGGATCCAAAAAGTCCCCATTAAAATGAGTTTGTTAGAATCAATGGCTGCAGAAAGTCATCAATAAAAAATGTTTTTGGTAAACTTTATTTATGAATTAATGAATATTTTTAACAATATGTTATTTTACTGTTTAAATTGTTGAACGAATAAAAAAATTAAATAATTTAAATACAAAAACAGAAAGAAAAAAATTGAATAAATAGTGCAACATATAGCAGTTGATGTCACTAAATGGCAACGTATTTTTTCACATTTTAGAAAAAACAGAAAAAAAATGATAACTTAATCCAAGGGTTTGTAGAGAAGGCAGTGTGACAAAAAAAGTCGAACGACCACGCCTCAAGAACATCTTATCAGCATAAAACCTTTGCAGTTAGGATTTGTTTTAGGATTGCTTCTTTGTCCTCTCTTCCTACGGATATATCACTAACAACCATAACTATGTGGACTCCACAGAGTGCAAGAACCTTTATTGCAGTTTCGATACATATCCCACTTGAGTCTCCTGAAATAACATCATAGCAAAAACAAAGTTCTCTTAATACTTTCATCAAACACTTGAAGGCAAAAATAGAAAGACAATTGGTTTTTTAATAGTGGTGGTATACATTTGAATTAAAGTGGAAGATGATGCAACATTGTAATTTTTGTTTTTCCTTTCAACTTAACAATAAATTACATGTGTTCATGCATGTTCATAAGAAAAGTATAAAATAGGGTAATGCTAAAGAATCAAAACGTATCGAATAATACATCTACATATTAAAATCTGAAGCTTCAGTTGCCAAATAATGGTCAACCACCGATAAAAAAACGACAAGAAAACATTTAATCAAGAGAGCAAGAATTTATAGAAACTAAACTCAAAAGAAAAAAACAGACATACCATCAATGTTTTTTATTTTTCTTAATTACCTTTGTCTGTCAACAAAATTTCTTACTTTTCATTCTTCATTTCTAATAGGTGTATACCCATAATCCGGACCTCTGAAAATAAATATAATTATAAATATATTGATAGATAAAATATAAGTATATGATTTTTTATTTTCCCAATCTTATACAAATAGTAGGGATTAAGCTTTGCTTAAGAATTTAGCATCATCAACAACAATTACTAGGAGATGTTAAAAATTTCATCCCCAAATTAGATTAATTTTTTTGAGTAAAATGTATGAAAGAAAGATTAAAAAATTAACACTATCATACTAATATCTTTTTTTCTGATTCAACAAAGTAAAAAAGGCACGAAGGAAATAAACATAAAGCATAGTAGCTTTACTCTCATTCAATAGCGCAACAGGTCCCAAGAAAAGACCCACCAAGAAACATAGCACAAACCTTAGAAATTTAACAAGAAGATGAAAAGGCAAACAAACCTCTTGTCATTATTACTCTAGTTGCCCATTGACACCCATTAAGTTTGAGAGAGGGAAGAGAGGATATATTTAGGGTTACTTCTGGTGAATGAAATGATAACAATCAAGAGAGACAGAAGGGATGAAATTTAAATTTAAAAAATTGAATCCCGATATCCTATTTGGTAAGAAGTGTGCGAGATCGGAGGAGATCACAAAAATTCATGGTCAAATAAATATCTACATATAATTTACGTCAAATAAATATCTACATATAATTTTTTTTTCTACTTATTGCTTTAACATTTTTTTTTAACAGCAAATCTAACCTACTTTTAAACTATTCTTTAAATATAATTATTTTTTTCTACTTCAAATTGGTTATATAATCACAAAACATATCAATGCTCTTTACTTGCAATCAAAATTGTAACTAAATTTGTACATTTTCTTACAATATTGATAATCATGATTTAAAATTATATTTAAGTTTTTAATTTAACAAATAATCACTCTTTATATTGATTATAAATTATCTAATTCATATAAATTCTAGATTTCTAATACAAACATATACTTAAAAAACAAATCAAACGATGGTTATTATTTATCATTTTGGTTCCATCAATCTACTAACGATATTTCTACCACTATGACCCATAACAATCCACATATGCACATCTATAACACCCATGGTAACCGAATTACTCATCACCCTACAAAACAAAACCACAAATCTTTTTGTAAGTCCAAGTTTAATACAAAATCTAAAAAGAAAGTGATTGAAAAAAATATAAAACATAAGCCAAGATATTATGAAGTTAGTAACCTTATTAATGTAAAACTGACTGTTGTACGATAAAAATTGTTCATTACGACATATGATTTGAGGAACATTGACTTTGTTCCCATCATGCATTTTGGACATCACTTGTGCTTCAACCGATATTGGAATTTCGACTCAAAATGAAGGCTCTCCTTCCAAGATAAGTAAACTACAATCCTTTTAATACTAATAACATTTTTCATTTATGTCACACTAATAAACCAATTAATAATCATTAATTGAAAATTCTTTCAATATATGTAGTAGTTAAAAGATAAATTGAAGATGTTTGGATGTTTCAAATGAATAAGGATAAAGGATAATGGTTTATATTATAATTAATAGATATATAAACAATAGATAGATCTATTATATATTATTCTTAAAGAGTTATAGGAAGAACAAAGAAAGTTTTAAAATTATTTAATGTATTCATGATAAAACCGGTTATTATAATTAATTACTATTGTTAACTAATTTTAAATGTTTTAATTTTATGTCTATGTAGATGTTTTTTTTTAATTATTTGCACTTATTTAAAACTAAGTAACCAATTTATAATCATTGATTTTTTTTTTTGAAAAATCATTAAAATTTCAAATACGAAAAATATATTTCTTTTATATTATAGTATAGATTAGGCCTAGTAAAACAATATAAGAGTGGTCAACAAGAAAGATCACAAAATCATCTAAAGAACTATGATGTGATTTTAAAGAATTCAAATACGTTTCAAGGTATAAATTTTACTATTGTGGTAGGGGATTCAAGTCTTTTGGAAATATATATATATATATATATATATATATATATATATATATATATATATATATATATATATATATATATATATATATAAAAAAGTGGTTGAGGATTTAAGTTTTACAAAAAAAATAAACTAAAAAAAAAAAAAAACAGACTGTATCATATGAGCGGCTCATGTTTGCCCACCCCAAGGCTCATATGGGAGATCAATCGCAGAACACTAATAATATTTTGGGTGTACCAGGTTTGAACTTTGGACAAAAGATTTAGAGTTAGAAGTATTATTAGATGAGTGTTTGAAAAACATAAATATGGTATTTAGACAATTCAACCTGCGTTTTCAGAAAAATCCAACTCACTTTTGTCTTTCCAAGTTATGAAAGGATTTATGCAACGAGCCAACTCGATAGACATACAAAGTGGGCCAATACCTTAATAAAAAAAAATAATTTTGTTGATAATAAGATGATACGATTCTAACGTGGTACTCAAGACCACCGTGCTGTAAACGAACAAACGAACACGAACAAAGTCTTCTTCATGTTCGTTCGTTTAAGTTAGCCAAACACGAACGGATAAACGAACGAGATTTTCTTGTTCATGTTCGTTCGTTTAACAAATTAGTTTGTTCATGTTCGTTCATTTATGTTCTTGAACATGCTAAATGAACATAAACGAACAAAGATAAAAAAACACAATTGAACATATATGAACATAAACGAACATATAATATAGCAATATAATAAAAAATAATTGAATATAGATGAATATAAATAAACATAAACGAACGAACATAAACGAACTTAAATAAACATCATAAACGAACGTTCACGAACATAAATGAACGAACGAGATCATTGTTCATGTTCGTTCATTTAACTAAATGAACAAAATTTTTGTTCATGTTTCTTCATTTATTAAATAAACGAACATAAACGAACTTTCCACCGAACAGTTCACGAACGGTTCGTCGAACGTTCAGTTCGTTTACAGCCCTAACCACCATGGCCCGACCCAACAACAATGAAGGCCGATCCAGATGATAAGAGAAGCCTGCCTGTTATTTGGATTGAATCAACAATAGTCACGTGGAGAAATAAATATTGGATCATGCAACTGCCCATCAAAGTGGTTACCTTTTCTTAGAAGTCCACGTTTAATGCTTCCTAGTTTGTAGTATCATTTCATGCACTTTATCTATATATAATTGTAAGCTTCACGTTTGGGAAGTTAAGCAGAAAAGTTATTGAAATCATTATGTTATTTTAGTATGCCTTCTTCATCTTAATTCTTTGGAGATTAGTCATCTCGAATTGGCTCCTATCATAAGATATGGAGAGGAAGTGACAATGCTGGTGCAAGGGATGGTGTTATTTCTAACTAGTGATTTGTACACAAATGATAAAACCAAATGAAATTTCTTTGCATCTTACTTTTCTATTTTTAAGAAGAAAACGAAGATGATGTTTGAAATGTGAAAGATGGGGAAACTATAACCTGAGGGGGAAAAAAGTTTAGATACATCATCTTGGGGACGATATAGATGATCTTGGAAAGGCAGTTAAGTGACCCACTTGTAACCATGTATTATAATATTTAAAATTCGATTTGTATCGGTTTCATAATTCGTTTTTTTCAAAAATCAACACATTCCAAAAAAAGTATTAACTTGAAAATTAACATGAAAAATCCAAGAACAATTTCGTACAACCGCGAATATGATTCGTTTACACTCTATAAAGAAATCAACTTTCACAAAACCTTCATTTCGACTTACAAATCTTTTAAAATTTATAAAAACAAAACAACATTTTTTTAAAAAAAAATTTAGACACCATCATAATTCATTAGCATGAATCAACCCTGTTGCTTCTTCTTCTTGGGTCGCCTCTTTCTTTTGGGTTTGCGAGCATCCGAATTGGAGCTCAAATTACTCCCGCTATTACCCGTGCCCGACTCCACGGGTCGCCGGTTATTAAAAAACGGGCGTTCGACACTTGTCGATGTATTACTGGATGATGACATGTCAACTCTACGAGACGATGATGACATGTCAACCCTATGAAAGGATGATGATGATGTGTTCTTGTTGAACGATCTCATGTGATTTGGATTTTGATTATTTGATGCCCGAGGAGGTGGCATGAGTGCACGTGCCGAAATATGTCTCTATTTAAATTCAATAAACAAATTAATAAATTAATAAAAATAAATATATTTACACGCCTTTTAATACAGTATACAGTACAGTACAAGACAGAACAGGCTAACCTGATTTCTTTCATCGCTGGACATACCGGAAGCTGCTTTTCCAGAAGCACTAGATGCTTGTTCCCTATAAAATGTTTTTATTTTTATATAAAAATTTTAAAAAAAAAAAGTTTGGTGTATGAATTGAGAAAAGACGATTCTAACCTTGCACTTTTATCAGTCCACTCATCATCTGCATCAGCTTCATCACTTGAGCTTCCACTTTGAAAGAAATCATCATCACTTAAATCCAACCCATCGTCTTCACTTCCAGTTTCTGAAACAGTTTATTGTAAGAAATAGCAACCTACTTTCAAGTATTTTCTTTATTATAATTTATAGCATCCTACTTTCATTTTTTTGCTTTAATTTTATTTTGACAAAATTGCAAAAACAGTCCCTGTGATTTGTCGAAAATTGCCATTTTGGTCTAAAAGGTTTCGGACGAGCACCACCGGTCCAAAACTTTGATTTTGTTACAAGTTTGGTCCAGAAACTTTTTATAATGATGGGTTTACCCTTGCAAGGGCAAATCTGTCATCTTAAATATTTTTTTAAAAAAATGGACGAAACTCTGAAACAAAAAATGAAAAATAGAAATTAATTACCTTCCAAATCTTTCCCACTAGCTATAGCAGCAGCTATATTTGCCTTGATTTGTGTGCGTAAGCTGTTTCTCTTATTAACAGTCTCTGTATTATCACCTTTTTTAAATAATGATACGTATTTTTCTGCCTTTGGAAAAAACTGCAGATTCAAAATCAAAATATTATTATTATAATTATAATTTATAATAAACAAATGAATGAAAGTGCATTTAACCTTATTTATGATTGCATAAAAGAGAGATTATTACCCTGATATACTCAAGATCTTCTTTCAATTTGGAAAGCTGGTCAGCCAGCTCAGCTTCTTGAGCCTGCCCGGATGCTGCCCGCTGTTGTTTCTCCAAACGTCTTATTCTTCTCTCAACCTTCCTTCTTTCTGTTAAACAAAACATTAATGGAAATACTTTGCTATTTCTTGAATTTAAATGAAGAAATTTTACCAAAAAATTTGATCTTTCTGTAACGCAAGAATATTTTGTGTTCCAAAGCAAGATTATCCAGAAGCTGTTGTTGATTCTTCAATCCTTCTAATTTCTTTGTAAGGGCTTCTTTCACTTCAGGCCTTGTGTCCTTTAAATATATCATGAAAAGAAAAATATGGGCTTATTTCATCCAGTAAAGAAGGATCAAATAACTTTAAGGGAATAGAACTGGAATTTAACAGAAATCGTGAAACTTTTTGAAATCAAATCCAATGTATGTGAATGGTATAGCAAAAGATAGATATGAATTTGGCGTCTCTGTCAAAAGTGATTGTCTTTGGAAGTTGGAAACCATGTAGTGTGACAAACTACTGAAAATATGTTGGTGATAATGGTGTATTATCAAGTTTTCGCTACCAAAATACCATTAATATCAAGTTTTATGCAGTTATCGAATAATCTACGGAGGATACATAATACGCATCAATCTGAATGTAGAAAAGTGGCGTATTAATATATTATCAACACATCCAAAGTGTACCTCTTTGTTTTGAACAGAGGGAGGACATGATAAAATCTAAGTACATATTTTATTATCCAAAGAATCCGAACAACAATATCTACACTTGAGCAAGAGGTTATTGCGTTTTCTATAGACGAATTTATCTGAAGAAACAGTGTGTACAAAATACCTTACGAATCATACGCTCCGTAGAGCGAATCTGGCGTTTTAGAGAGACGAGCTTGGCTTTAGGTTTCTTCTCGACACCCAAGGCTTTTGGACGGTGATTGGTAGCTTTATTCACCGGTTTCCGTCCGGCGACCCGTCGCTTGTCGTAGCCACCGTGTGCCATCTCTGCGTTCTCCTTTTAGGTTTTCATTCTTTTCCGTCGGATGTATATGCAGAAATGTTGCTACATATATACAGTTTTGGTCCCTGTACTTTGCATAAGTTTTAGATTCTGCTAGATTATAATAACGACATCTTTTATGTTTTCTTCAAAAACAACCATCGTCAATCACTCAATCTAGAGAATGATGAGAAATTTAAATAAGAAAAAACTGTAATTTTGGTACTTAGTGGTTTCATAAAAATTTTTGGATGAGGTTCAAAACGTTTATGATTTGCATGGAAGATCCAAAAACAAAACTTCTTTTGATTTTAGTCTAAAAAAAACTTGAAATGACGGTTATGTATTTTCATTTTCATTTTTGTATTTTTTATAATTAATTTAATACCATCCCCACCCACCTCCACCTCTCTCTCTTTTTCTCTCTCTCTCTTTATATATATATATATATATATATATATATATATATATATACACACACACACAATAAACATACACACTTTTGATTCAGTTTCCAAGTCAAACCGATGGCGAAATTAGCACACACTTATGAAATCAACATTAATTTGTGTGTATTTGTTTATTTGTTGAACAAGGAGGAAATTATCTCAAAAAGTTAGTGCACCTTGATTTTAGATTCAACACACATGTTTACAGATTTAGATATTGTTTCTGGTGGTGAGGCTCATAAAAAATTGTTGGTTCAACCCCAAAACATACATTGTTATCGAACGATCTGATGAGGAAGACTCCTATCGTTGATGCAAGTTCATCACCACCCCTTCCCATCTTCTTCTTCCTCACCTTTACCTTTAGGAAGTTAGTGCACCTTTTGGGTCGTTTTGAATGCTTATAAAGAATATACCATAAATGTTTCACTCTTTAAAAATAGCGGAAGTCTTATAAAATCAATTTTCAAAAACAAAAAATCATTTGTTTTATTGTCACACCCAAAACCGAGAACGGCGGAAACGTTCTGGCGCGGAGGACGTCATGTAATGTATCACAACAATGCAAAGTAGTAAACAAGCAACAACATCATCCATTGCATTAATAGTATAATTTTAATTACAAGTGTATTCTTTCATAGTAATAAACAACATAATGAATACTCAAAATAAAAGAAGAGGCTTGACTGCTCCGTCTTCACAAAACCTGGTCGTCGTACCTGCCTATTTGTGACCTGAGAATACAAGTTATTTTGAAAGCGAGTATCAGCAATAAAGCTGGTGAATTCATAAGTATTTATGTGTCTTTGATTTGTAAAACTGTAAAGAAAGACTTGTAAATGTTTGGAGAAAAGTTTGTATAAGTATGAAAATGTTTGTAAGTAATTGTAAACGTTTGAAAACCCTAGAAAATCCCAACTTTCCTACTAGTATAAAAAGTAGTCTTCTACCAATACCCAACTATTTTGAAAGTATGCATCCCTGTAAATGTGACGGTTTTTCCCTTGTATAAGTATTATTATTAAAAAACTATAGTCTACCTCATCGTTTATGTGTATGTGTCATAAAATAAAGGTAATAAGGAAAATAGTATATCTATATCAAATATATTCTACCTCATCATTCGTGTGAATGTGTCACAAAGTAAGGGTTAGAAGGAAAATAATATAAAAACTAAAATTGTATCCTTTTGCACTAGGATATTCACGGCGTGGTAACTCGCCGAACAGTACAACCGTAGACACCCATCGATGTGCATTTTCCCTACTGTAGCTAACAGCCTTGGGGGTGGAATGGTAAGTCTCGAAACGTATGTAATAGTATCTATGTAATAGTATCTATGTAATTGTATCTCTGTAATTGTATCTCTGTAAATGTATGTCTTGTAATTGTATGTAATCGTATCTCTTCATATAGTATGTAATGTATTAGTATTTCTGTAATTGTATATCTTCATATAGTATGTAATGTGTTAGTATTTCTGTAATTGTATCTCTTCATATAGTATGTGATGTATTAGTATAGACTCATGAATGAACTGACTCTTGTGTGATTCTTTGTACTGGTAATAGTAAGTAGTATCTCCTAACTATACTTATTATAGTTACTAGTAATGTTCGTGTATAACCGAAAGCATGCCTTTGCTACCCAAAGGTACTGAACTGACTGATGGAACTTTTATGTCTACATATGTATACATGATATATAACTAATATTTAGACGATATTCGGACGAATAACCGATACCCTAAGGCCACATCCAAACGAGGAAAAGGAATTAAAGTGAGCTAGCCGTCCTAAGTCCTTTAAACATTACTTATATAACTATACATATATAGGCATGCATTTGACAATATAAAAGTATAAAAGAAGTTTTGTAAAACCATTGAAAAGTTTAATAACTAATAAATGATGACTTGATGTCAGTTTATAAAACGATTTGAAAGTAGTTTGTTTGATAAGACAGTTTTAAGTATAAGAAAACCTTTGTTTGAAACACAATTGTAACAGAGTTTGAAAGGAAACATACAGTATGTCCGATAATTTGATAAAGAGTTTTAACATGTAAAAACGTTTGAGAAAGTCATTTGAAGTACTATGTTTGGTAAAACAGCTAAAAGTGTAGTAAATCCATTTGTATGCTAGTTATTAATCACATGCGATTGATATAATAACTATCATGATTCAACCTGTATTCCCCCATAAAAGCATTTATAAACATTTAAAAACATTTAAAAGGTTAATTAAGGGGTATGAACTCATCTGCAGTGAGTGGATCGTATGGAAGTGTCGGACAAGTGCTTGGTGTCAAGTGAAAACTTAAACACACACAATGATCCTAATAACATATAAAGACATATGTATATAAACAATTAGTGATTATAACACTAATTAGACAAGTATAAACACCCTAATGTGTGGAAAACACTTTGTTCAAAGTGTTAGGAGGCCATTGGATTGCAACAAAGGATTACAAGGCATTGTTATTGAGTATATGGTCCGTTGACCATACTTAATGGAGTTTACGGCCCAGGGGAGTTTACTCCTGGCCATAAACTCTCTAATGGGTCTCCATTTGAGGCTTAAAGGCAAGATGTCTTAAGTGGTTAAGTGTTCCAAGGCGAAACAAGAGGCTAGGTGAGTTTAAGGTGCAAGAAATGACCTTAACTTGTGTTTACGGCCTAGGGATCACTTCCCCATGAGTTTACGGCCGTAAACTCATGGTGTGAAGTACCATTTCGTTGTTTGAGGTTCCTAGTTCAATGGTGGTTGGTTCTGGGCTAAGTTCTAATCATTTGGAAGGACAAGAGGGCATCATTGCTCCCTTAAAGGGAGTTTACGACCTTGGGAGATCCTTGGCCGTAAACTCTCATTCATCCATTGATTCTTGATGTTTCTAAGCTCTAAACATGTTAAACCTAGTGTACAACGAGTTAGAACAAGAGTACTTACGATCTAGGAGCTTGAATGGTCAGTTTTGGCCAAGAACACTAGTGTGTGTTCTTGGTGAAACTTGAAGATCTACACAAATGGAATGATTTCACGGATGAAATCATGTAAGATCACTAGTTCATGTAAGATATCAACTAGTTAGGGCAAGAAACTTACGAGTTTTGAAGATCGGGGACGAAGATCGGGATGATAGTTGAGAGGATTTCAGCCAAGGGAAAGAAAGGGATGAACAAAATGGCCAACACTTCATCATATAAGAGGAGTTTACGGCCCAAATGGAGTTTAAGCCGTAAACTCCCTTGTGGTGGCCGTGAACTCTTGATCAAGGTGTTATAGGCCTGTTCTTTGAGCTATAACTTCAGCAGATAAACCCCGACACTTATCCCTTAAGTGTACAAGGCTCAAAACGCTCAAACAGACTCTAAATTATGCTAAATGATAGCAAAAATGAGTTTGACTTTCAATGAAGTGCTTGATTGTACAGGATAGAAAATTTCGGGTTGTCACATTTATAGTAAGGTCCAGGCGTGATTTAGTCACTATCAAAGACAAATTATATGTAGAATGTCTTTGGCTATTTAAGTCCAAAATGTCATATGCAAGTGATCACCATCTTAGCTGGTTGTGATGCATCTTAGGTTATAGGCCTCAGTGGTTGAGGTCAAGAGTTCGACTCTGTGCTGAGCACGTTTGGGGGATTTTTCCTGGATTGGTGCGAGTACGATTCTTCGTTCCCTCTGGTGGTGAATGCTGCACCTCTTGGTGGCCCGCCAGACATTCCTGATCCTTCGGATCGAGTTACCCTCTGTCTATTTTTCGGTTCTAAAAAAATGTTATATTTAAGGGGTGGTTGGAGTTATTTATTTGAAACTAGGTTAAAACCCGAGCAAGCCATGGGTAAGAAAAAAAAAATGAAATTGATAATTAAAAATAGTTATGAAACATCTAATATTTATAAGAAAAATTATTAACTTAATAACATATAATTTGGGTTTAGATTTTATAATAATTATTTAATAATAATCGTTATTATAAACCTTTATATGTTATACGTATTTAATATTTTACTGAAAGACAATATAAGATCATATAATAATGACACATATTAACGAAAGTAAATTTTTTTTTTTGAGTGAATTATATCATATTTATATATAATATTTTCTTTTATGTGCAGATCTACGGGTTACTGTGGAAGATATAAAAGACAAAATACATTTTTAACATTGGGTGAAATATGGATGTAGAATGAACCATGTGGAAGATATAAAAGACAAAATACACTTTTAACATTGGGTGAAATATGGATGTAGAATGAACCATATGACATGAGTCCTTTATTAACTTATTAGTTATGATACTCATGTGTTACATGAGTTTATTCAAAAAAATAAAAATAAATACGAAGATATAAAATTTTTAAAAGTTTGAATTTATAAGAAAGTAGAGAAAAATATTTAGCTATTATAATTAAAGTGTTCATTTCTCTTTTAAAATATAAATAAATAAACAATTAAAATAATTGGATTTAATTTAGAAATTTAAAAATTATAAGGAAAGTTGCACTAATAAATTTGATATTTATTTATTATTATATTTATTACATTTGAATATTATATTTAATTTAATAA